TCTCTTCCTCGATCTAGTCACGAGTCGGTCCCCTAGGCGGCCCCCTCAAGTGCGCGTGCGCGGCGTCCGAGGCTTCGCCGCCGTTCGGGGGCGGTGTTGGCTCTGCCAGAAGGGGCTCCCCCGGCTATGTAAAGGTTGGCCCGCCCCCCCAAGAGGTTAGGTCGCGCAGAGTCCGTGGCCAGGTTTCTAGTGTGTGTGTGTGTGTGTGGTTCGAAGAAGAAATCGCCACACACACACACACATATATATATATATATATATATATATATATATATATATATATATATAATTTCTGGCGCTCCACGCGGATTTCTTGGATCCGCGCTGGGCCCCCCGCGGCGGCACCTCCGGCGCCGCTCCTGGCGCGCTCCGCGCGCCAGGGGAGGGGGCCTCGGCGCGGCTCCAGAAGATCCGCGCGGAGCGTCCGAAGTTTAGGTTTCGGTCTTTGCATCTTCCTCGAGGCAGGTTCGAGCAGCTTAAATTTGGACTCCCTGCGCCTCCTCGTCCTCCTCCCGCCCTGTGCGATGATCTGTGTGTGTATGTGTGCGCTTCCGGCGGGCCCCACTGTGCGGCCCCCGCGTGCACCCACGGCTCGGCCGAATCGTCTGCCGCCGCGGCCGCCGTTCGCGCCTCCTCCGCCGTCGCTGCTGCTCCTCCCAGCGAGCACGGCGTCGAGAGGGGCAGGAGGCCACGGAGTCTCTAGCCGTGGTCGGTGACGACCGCACCCTCCTTTCGCTCGTCTTCTCCGCTTGTTCTTCTCTTCCTCCTCCTCTTCCTTCTCGCCCGCGGCCGCTTCTCCCGCAGCAGGGCCCAGTGCGCTGCCGCTTCTGAGAATTAGGAAGTGGCTGCCTCCCCGAGCGGGAGTCCAGAAGTGGGGCCTGCGGCCAGATTTTTTGTTTTCGAGCCCTGTTGGGCTCCCCGCCGCTTGCGGGTCTCCTTTTTCTGTTGTCTGCAAATATTGGGCTTGCCTCGGGGGGGTGCGTGCACCTCTCTCTTTTCAAACTCCGCAGCCTCCTGCTCCTGCCTGATGAAGTTCAGCAGCGAGCCGAAAATAGGAGCACTTCCCATCAACGCCTTGGCGCGCAAGGTCCAGGACAGCCTTTAAAATATGCCCCGTCGCAACAGCAAACGCCGAAAGAGTCATGCCCTGGGCTGGCACCCCGCACGAGCATCACTCCGCGCGAGCGAGTGACGCTTGCTGGCGTCAGTGGCCCTGTTGACTCTTAGATCGTGTGCGTGCGCGTGGGCATGGTAGAGGGGGACGTGGCAGGGGGACGGGAGGGCGAGGCCGATAAGGTTCCCCCTTAGCCCGCCCCCGCACTGCCGCATTCACGGATGATGGAAAAAGTGGCGGTGGTGGAGGGGGGGGTTGCCACAGGTGATGGTGTCTTCTAAGGCGATGTGTATTGGTTTCAATCTGTCGTGCTGCTCTCCTGGGGCCGCGGCATGTTCAACGTTCTCCCGCACTGACGCGCTCACGGCTCAGTATATCGACGTTTCGCAACCCAGATCTTAGCACAACCTTCTTACAACCTTCTTGTATTACAAGTAGGGCGTGGTGCCACGTTTTCAATGTTGCTTTCCCATCGCAGCCTCCTGCTGTTGCTGCGCTGCGTGCGGGTCCCGCCCGTCGCCCCCGTCGTTCATGCCCCGTCGTCCCCCCCCCCCACCCACCCTCCCGCGCATGTCGCGGAGGCTGGGATACTGAAGCAGTCGTGTTTCGCTCGCGGCAGCCCCCCCCCCTTCCCCCCACCCCCGGGGTCGGGAGGCGCTGTGCTTCCTGCCCCCCTCCCTCCACCTCCGTGCTGCACAGCCAGGCGCACCGTTCGCCGCCCCGTCATTCTTTTTCTTCTCCCCCCCGAGGGCATTGGCTGCAGGAGTCATCCTACGGTACCGAGATTTTGAAGGAGCTGGTCAGGTCATAACTTCCCGACCCACTGCGTAGTCAGTGGGGTCCGCACTTCTGTGCTCTAGCCCCGTGGGGGCGGGGCAGCCCCGTCAGGTTGAGGCGCCTGGGCTATACTAGGCCGTAGTGCGCCCAGCGGTCGCCAGTTGCGCCAACGAGCTTTCACAGACCATGAGTTGGTTAACCGCTGATGCCTCCTCATGCGAGCAAGTTGCGGGCGTCAGGGCGTACAGTTACGTTGATTCGCAGCGCTGGGGTCCCAGGCGTTGTGTTTTGGCACGGTTTGGGATTCTCGGAGGGTGATCCTTGGGTATTCGTCTTCCTCGCTTCGTGTACCCCCACCAGCGCATTCACAAACGCTACTTGTGAGAGCTGGCGCGGACTGGGGGGAAGCGACAGCTTTAGTGAACCGGAGCGACCAGCCCTGGTGAACTGAGGATGCGGGTGACGATGAGGAGGAGGAGGAGGAGGAGGAGGAGGAGGAGGAGGAGGAGGAGGAGGAGGAGGAGGAGGAGGAGGAGGAGGAGGAGGAGGAGGAGGAGGAGGAAAAGGAGTATATGGACGACAACGCGAGGACGACGAATAAGCGACGTATGACGATACTAAGGAAAAACAGGGATCGGATGACGCGGACGAGGAGGACGATGAGGAAGATGAAGACGAGGAGGAGGAGGAGGAGAAGGAGGAGGAGGAGGAGGAGGAGGAGGAGGAGGAGAAGGAGGACGAGGAAGAGGACGAGGACGACACAGATGAGGAGGAGGAGGACGAGGAGGAGGTGAGGAGGACGAGGAGGAGGACGCCGACGAGGAGGCCGAGGACGATGAGAATAAGGATGGGGGCTCTGGCAGCCATCTGGGGGTCTTCTTGCGGCCCTTTTGGGGTCCTGTTGTGGCTCTCTCGTTGCCCTCTTGGGGCCCTTTTGGGTTCCGCGTGGGGGGTATTGGGGTCCTCGTCGGGTTCCTTTGGGCGTCTTGGGGCCCTCTTGAAGCAATTGTGTTGATTTCTTGTGTCCCTTTTGGGGGCCCTGGAGGTCCTCTGGGGCCATCTCGAGGGCCATCGATCCAAAGGGGGGGTCCCCGATTTGGGCTCCCCTCTGGGGCCTTCAAAATCGCCTCTTGGGACCCTCTTGGGGCCCTCTTGCGGCGCCCTTCGGCGCTCTTGGGGCCGTCCTGGGGGGCTACTGGGCCCGTCTTGGGGCCATCTTGAGGCCCCAACAGCGCATCGGCAGCGAAACGGCGAGAAGGTCAACATCATTGGTATTCCCATAGTTAGGTGGTTGCAGGATGTTGGCTTCTTGGGGGGGGTCCTGAGGGGTCTCTGAGGGCAGTTGGAATCGCCTCGTAGCCCTCGTGGGGCCTCTTGGAGGCATGTCGGAAGCTGTCTTGAACCATCTTCGGTTGGATAAGGCCATCCTGGAGTCTTGGATCATCGGAGGCCCTCCTGGAGCTAGATTGGGAGGCTGGTGGGATTCTTGTTGGGAGTTGTGAAGAGGGAACTGGGACCAGCGTCTTCCCCAGCTGGGGCCCTTCGATCGCCGAGCGCACTGCGACAGCAGCGTCTTGCGCGCTTGGGTCGGCCCCCCCCCCCCCCCCCCCCCCCCCCCCCCCCCCCCCCCCCCCCCCTCCCCCCCCCCCCCCCCCCCCCCCCCCCCCCCCCCCCCCCCCCCCCCCCCCCCGCGGCTCCCCTGAAGCACACCAAAGCCACTCTTGCCTGGGGTCACTCCTCTTGCGTGCAGCCGGGTCACTTCGGCACCGCCTGATTCCGAGGCTTTGCCTCCTCCCGGCCCCCCTTTACCTCCCCCATCTCTGATTAATTCAAGCTTCGCGCGGCCCGCTTAGCTTCGACCGGAAGAGGTGCGCTCTCGACCCGCGGATCAAAAAAGTCGCGGGGGCACGGGGGCCAGCGCCGACACGGACCCCATGCGCCTCGGAGCGGAAGCATCGAGGTGGCCTGCCGGTCGCCACTTCCGGCCGGGTTCGGGCCTCGGGGCCGTCAAGAGCAGACCCAGGGGGGGCGAGGCCCGCCCTGGGGAGGAAGGGGTCCCGAGGCCCGGGGGCCCACGCGCCGAAGGAGTCGGAGCGCCGGAGGTTTGGGAACGGGGGGTCGGTCGGTCCCGTCGGATCCCCTCTGCCTGTCCCAGGCGTGGGAGCCACGAGAGTGTCTCTTCTCCTGATGGGTGCGTAGAGCCCAGGGGCACCCCCGGAAGCGCGGCGTACGGCAAAGGGATGCGTCCCTGGGTTTTGCATGTCAGGATCGGTTCATCGTGGGGGCCTGCTGTGACCCTCTGGCCGCCGGCCCGGGGCTGGCGTCTACTAGACTGCTGCGGCCTGCCTGGGCTTGCGGCTTGGCTCTGGCTGGCCTAGGTTGGCGCTGACCCGGGTGCAGCGCGTCTGGAGGGGAGCGGGGGAGGGGGGGGCGTGGCGGCGGAGAGGGGCGGGGGCGTCCAGACGGGGGTGGGGACTAGGGGTGTGCTCACCCACCGCGCAACATCCGCGCCTGATCACCTCCTATGCCCGTGCAAACATCCCACCCGCCCGCTGACCCGCAGTTTTTTGACAAAATTGACCATGATCTCAACTAGCGCACCGGCGCGTGGAAGTCACCCGCGCAGACGAGTCCGTCCTCCACGGGCACGACGCCGACGACGAAGGGATGACCATGGTGATGACGCTGATGCCGATCGCGATGGTAGTGGAGATGGGGTCGCTATGATGTCGACGACGGCGGTAGCAATGGTGATGAAGATGATGGATGGTGCTGATAATGACGCCCTCGTTCTACCTCCTCCCTACTCCTTATTGTCGTCGTCGTCGTCGTCCTCCTCCTCCTCCTCCTCCAGTTTCTCCTCCCTCTCCCTCTTCCTCCCTGTTCCTCGTCCTCGTCCTCCTTCTCCCCCCCATCCTCCCCCACATCCACCCGGCATCCTCCCCCCCCCCCGGGGAGGCTCGCCCGCCGCCGCCTGCCGCCGCCAGCCGCGCCGCCGCGGCCGCCGCCGCTGTCGCCGCCGCCCCCGCCCGCCGCCTCCCGCCGCCTGCCGCCCTCCCCCCCGCCCGCCCGGCGCGCCCGGCCTCGCGGCGCGAGGCACACCGCCGGGATGGGGGCCGCGGCCTGCCGCCGGTGCGAGGCGCACGGCGCCGCCCGTGCTGCCGCCCGGCCGCCCGCCGCCGCCCGCCGCCGCCCGGCGTCGGCCCGCGCCTCCTCTCGGCAGTGGGCGCTCGCCGCGGGCCATCGCGCGCGCGCGCGCCTACGCGCAGGAGCAGCGCGCGGGGATGCACTCTTCGAGCAGGGGGGGTCGACTGCAGACCTCCGTCGCCCCAGGATGGGCTTCTCGTCGACTCTGCCACACACGAGCGCGTGGAGTGTCCCTGCCGCGATCACGTAACGCATATTTTTTAATGGGTTCGGCGAGATATAATGCATTCTGGAGTCAATCGATTATGTAGTCGATCCCCTACTCGAGCTCTAGGCCTCTCATATTGGGTCCGAGTAGATGGGGTCGGAGGATCGCGCCGCATAGACGATTCATCGTCGATGCATCGCCGATGCATAGTCCGATGCTCTCAACGCCGACGTCACCGAGGCACTGCCGACGTCGCCGATGCATCACCGATTAATCGGCGATGCATCGTCGATGCGGTGCAATCTTCTGGCCCCATCTAGGAGAACACTATCTAGGAGGCCTCGACGACCAGCTCGCGCGCACGCAAGAGACGTTGCGGGTGGCATCACCGATTCATCGGCGATGCACCGCCGATGCGGTGCAATATCCTGGCATCATCTGCTAGAACCCTACCTGCAAGGTCTCAACGACCAGCTCGCGCGCACGCAGGAGAAGCGCGCGGAAGCGCGCGGAAGGACAGGCAAAGAGGCACGCCCGGCGCGCCGCCCAGGGGCCCACGGGGGCTCACGCCGCGCAGGCTCTGCGGCTCGCTTGCCGACGCGGGCCTTGACGATTTGCGCGGGCCTCTTGTTGGGAGCCCCCCGCCAGCAGCAAAGAGGAGGCACAGACGTCTCGCCCCGTGGGCGGGTCAGCTCCAACAACCAAGTTCCCCACTGGGAGCCAGCGACTTTCTACACCGCCGCCCTCCCTGAAGGTACATGCAAAGTTCGTCGGAGGGTTTCTGTGTCTATATTTTCGTGGCTTAGAATTCAAATTCCAAGGTCCTCTTGTCGGGAGCCTCTTTGTGGACTGGCGTGCAACAGTCCACGACCACCACCACGTACCCTTTCCTCACCAGACCTCCGTTCGTTCTGCGAAATCACGACGGAAGGCTTCTGGTTCTCTCCGGCCCCCGGGGGCATTGGGAGCCAGCCCCAGGAGAGCCTTCGAGAGCCCACGTGGTGAGAGAAGCACGACGTCGCACATCGGGGTCTCCGAAGTTGCCAGAGGTGATCCTGGCCCAGGGTGCCCTCAGCTCGTCGAGCTGTGCGGTCCGGAGGTAGCCTGCGCCTCTCTGGAGGAGCATGGCCGCCTTGGGATCCAGGGGGCACCTCCAGGAGCGCCCGATGCTTCGTCTCCGCCGTGCTTCCCCTGCCCCTGCCGCTCTGGCCCCGCCTCGGCAGGGAGGCGCCAGCCAGGGCGTGGAGGGACGGGTGGTTGGGCCATAGATCACCGGGCGCTTTCCACTACTCGCAAAGTGCCTAACCTCACAAACGTCCGATAAACGCATGCTTGCCTGCGATGTTTCTGGATCGTAGATCCCTCGAGGCGGAGCCGGGCCGCTTGCGAGTTTCTGCTTTGCGAGTCGTGAAGCGCGCTTGCCTAATGGAACGGCGATGGGGCAGCTCCTCTCTCTCCGCCCCTGGAGGAGCGGGGCCCCGAGGGAGGCGGGCCCTGGTTCCCGGGGGGCTTCACACCGAGTCGTGCTTCGAGTTCTGCACCCTGGGCTGGCAGCACAGGAAAGGACAGGTCGCCCCGGAGAAAAAAACACACTGTGGGAAGACACACACACACACACACACGCACGCACGCACGCACGCACGCACGCACGCACGCACGCACGCACGCACGCACGCACGCACGCACGCACGCACGCAGCACGCACGC